AATATATAAGAAGCTGTGATTTTTATTCTACGTACATAGTTACTTCGATTTTTATCCTTGTTGGTTGTGACTGTTACGCCCAGTGAAACTCTAGTTTAGCAAGTAACTACAATCAATTAGTTAACTAATTAATTAAAAACAGATATGTTAGCAATTGCATTTCTTTCATTTTGTCAATATTTAAAATCCAATGATGTTTCAAGATTTAAAGGCACACTCGGACTGACAAGTAGTTTTAATAGTGGCCCTTCAGCAAGTCAAGGGTGGACAGGACGTGATCTCCTTCCACCCAGGGCCAAGCGAGTCGCTATGTCTACTGTCGAGCTCAGGATCCACACTCAGGAGGTTGGCGATGGCGATGTGCGTCAGACAACGACGGACCGCCGGTTGCTCTTGCGGTCGGGGGAGTACTGCTCGAGCTCCTCTGGCGCCGTGTTGAGCGCGCTGTAGTCGACGGGGAAGGGGCAGCTCCGGACGTCGGCGGCCTCACCGGGACCGAACAGATACTGCCCCGGTCCATTGCGGTGTCGTCCCAGGAGGAAGTTGGCGTAGCACCAGCGGTAGGCCGGGAAACACAGGGGGTGGTCCCCGTTCTGAAGAGGAAGGAAACAGTGTGGTGGTTACAAGGACGCGGCCCGCGGCCCGTCTCCAATAGAACACTTTGAAGCAGGCGACAGGCGCCTGCGCCCTGCACTTAGACTGCCGCAGGACATGGCCCCACTCGTCGGGCAAACCTAGCTCCATTCCTGGAAGACAAGCGGCCTGTGAGGGAAGCACGCTTCCTGCAACCTCCCGTAGTAGGCAGGGCGGGACTTCCCTCCTTGCCCCCAGAGACTGCACGTGACTGGCCAGAACCCTCATCAGGGCGGACCGGACCGGACCGCAGCCACTTTGCCGTTCCCGCACCCTGCTCTCGTGCCCTGCACCTCTGTCTTATCCCGTAACCAATCGAACTCCAGGCTGGAACCCCCCAGGGCGGCTGGGACACTAACATCGACCGCCCCTGGTCGGCAGTGTCCGGGCTGTCCGTGTCCGGCCGGGCCGGGGGTCGCGGCCGGTGGCGGGGCGGTGTAGGGGAGGCGGCCGTCGACCGAGGGGGCCGGCCGCAGCGCAGACAGATACCCCGCGCGCCGCGGTGGCATTCTGTCTCCCCCATCTTTTTATTTGCGATGCCGCCCACCCTTGCCGCTCGCAGCCCCGCTCGGACAGTGCTATTACTGGCGACATGCTGGCGAGTAATTGGGGTAATCGAGTTGGCCGGCGGCGCGGGGCTGAGCTGTGCAGAGCCGAGCCGCTTCGGCGGAGACAATCCCGTTAGGACAGGAAATGAGAGCGGCCCGGCCGGGCAAATGCAATCGGCGTCCAATAAGCCGGGCATCGATCGGGAGTGCACGGGACGCGGCCGCCGGCGCCATACCTACCGCCGTCATGGCCTTGTAGGCCGAGTCCAGGACCTCGCCCACCCTCTGGGCGCCCAGGCCCAGGACGGAGGAGTAGAAGGCGCTGAGCTCGTCCCGGCTCACCACCCCCGTTCCTGCGAGAGAACAAGGAAGAGTCACTTTGAAACTTTGTGCCCGACGTGCGCGGGAACTCCCTCTCCCTGTTAAGGCGGCAGAGTGTCGCACCGCTCTTGTTGATGACGTGGAACATGACGCGGGGGAAGTACTGCAGCCACACGGGGAGCTCGTTGAAGGTTTTGGCCTTGTCCAGGATGGATCCCCAGCGGGACAGCCACTGGTCCAGGCTGCACACCCGCTCCCGCTCCCCGGTGGGGCACACCACGACGCCGTCCTCGGGCCCCCAGGAGGCGGGCGACGTGCCCGAGTCGTCGTCTCGCCGCTCGGGCTCCAGGAAGGTGCTGATGAAGTTGTGCTCCACCTCGCGCAGGATGTGGTACTCGGAGGAGTTGTCGGACCAGTCAGCGAAGTGCCGCAGCCTCTGCAAAGAAAAAAAAAGAAAGGTGAGTCGGTCTCAGGTGTGCCGCCTCCCCGGCGCCGCAGATCCGCGTTTATCTCTCCCGCAAACCCCAGCCGTCACCTCTCCGCCCCCGCGGCCCCGCGCGGCCTACCCACACCGTAGGGCATGTAGGGCTGCGCGCTCCACAGCGCGGCGTACAGCAGCGAGTACAGCAGCGAGGCGGACAGCACGTGCCCCAGGCGGCCGGGCCCTTGGCCGGGCCGGGCCCGCTCCGCCCGCTCTGACATGGAGACGGTCTTTATTGCGGGGCTCGGCGCTCTTTGCTCCGTCGGGCGGAAGGGCGGGAAGGGAAGGCAAAGCGGGCGCACCGGAGGGAGGGCTGGTGGGCGCTCTATGAGCAAGGCGGCTGCCTCGCAAGGCGGTGGTGGCCCACGGCGCTCACCGACGCACCAACAGGTAACAAACGGCCCGCTCGCTCACCTCGCTCAGGTTCTCGAAGTCCTGCCTCGAGACGATGTCGTCGCGGTCGCCGTCGAAGAGGTGGGCGAAGAACTGCGAGAGCTTCTCTCGCTGGACGGGCGACAGGAGCGCGGCCGAGTTCTCCACCTCCTGGTTGAGGAAGCCCTCCTCCTCGCTCGGCAGGCGCTTGACCCACGTGGCTGCAACAGAGGAGCAGGTGAAGGAGGGGCAGTGTCGTTATAATACCCCTGGGTCCGGTTGCGGTGCGGAGCTTGCGGCGGAGCCCCGGGCGGAGCGCGGAGCAGGGAAAAAACGATTTGAGCTCTCCTTTTATTCTGATTGGCTTTGCTCCTCGCTCCGTATCACTCCGTATGCAGCGTGCATGTGTGTTCGGCGGTGCGGTATGCCCGGGGGGTCGAGCTCGGCCGCGTGGGCGGGATGCCTAACTGTGTGGTGGGGTGGGTGGTCGGCAGGGCCCCTGGCCATGGCCGCCAGGCCCCGGGGCGGCCATCTGGAACAATGCTATCACTGCCCTGCTGGCGCTGGCTGGTGTGGCTGGCCCACCGGGCTAGCCCATACCATCCCCGGGCGCTACACTGCGGTGCGGAGGGGGAAAAAATCCATCTCCCTTTCGAATTTATAAGCGGCACCGGAGTGCAACTTCCTGAAGACGAGGGTGCTGGCTATGAATAGCCTGAAAGAGTTGAAAGCAAAAGTAAAAGGAAAACAACAACAAAAAAGGTGCGTCAACAATGCGCACCATGAGCGCTATGTAAGCAACTTTGCTTCACGTCTCAGCCAGAAAGCCCACCGGATCGCTCGGAGGGACAGACAAGTGGATTTAAGCCCCGCCTCCTTTTAGATTTTGTTGTAGCAGTGAGAGCTCAGTAATGGGGTTGAACTGGCTCAGCAGGGGGTGGGGGACGCACTCGTGAGTGGGCGACCCCCCTCCCCTTTTCCGTTCCTCCTCGAGCGCCCTTGCACCGTCCGTTCGTACAGGGCGTACAGTACACCTGTTCTGGGGCGCAGAGCGTGGAGCAGTACCGAGCTGCATTTGAAAGGGCGCCTTGCTATTGCTGTCGTAAAAGATGTACATGGGTCTCGGTGCCGCCCGCCCCCTCCTCCCCATCGGTTTTTGCATTCGGCGCACGTGAGGAACTGTGTGCCTCTCTTAGAGAAGCTCTCAGCAGACCGGGGGGCCTTATGCCCCATGTCGATTTCTAGAAACAAGTTAAAATTTTTGGGGCGAAATGTGAGTAGCGCCTATATTAGTCTCAAAACGGTAACAGTCCTTGGGGGAAGCACTCACTCGTGTAGAAAGGGTTGCTATAAGCTTAAATCTCTTGCACGACTGCTTTGGCGGCCTGGCGGGGGTGCGGGCGCAGGCCACGGACGGACACGGACGGGCACTTGGTGGTCAGACGCAGCCTCGGCGCCGCGCCCGGCCGCCGCCAAGACCAACAAAGAGTGCGGAGAGCAGAACAGGAGGCAGAGGCCTATTAGTCGCCCGCACTGCTTGTCTTAGAACCTGCGGGGCGTGGCGGGGCGCGGCCGGCAACTTTTAGTTTTGACGTGGCGTTATTCTAAGTGGACTGACGGAGGCCCGCACCCCTGGACTGGGCCGCGCCCCCCGTGCCCCCCCGAGGGCCTGTCGCGGGTAATTAAAATTAACGGTGGGGCCCGGCCGGCCTGACGGGACGGGGCGCCGGCGAAGGAGGGGCGAAGGGAACGAGGTCGGGGGCCGCGGCGGGATGTGAAAGGCAAGGAAACCGAAAGGGGCGATGATGGACTCGGCCGCAAGGACCTTCTTATCTCGTCGCATTTTCATTTTTGACGCCCTTTTAAATTACGACCTGCCCTCGGTTTGCTCGCCTCTCACTCGCACTTTGCCCCGCCGCCTTCCACTCTCCCCCGCGCGGTGGTGACCCCGTCCAAAGGCACCTGGCTCGGCCAGTCCAGGGCGGGGCGGGGCCGAGGTTGAGCGGTAGCGACCTTTTGAGTGACCCCATACTGCGGTCCGAGCCGACCCTTAGGCCCGGCAGGGGGACTCGCCTTGTGTGCGCCCAAGCCTTATTGTGACCTCTGTGGACCGTGCGTCGGAGGGGCCGGGCCGGGTGCTGCTGGAGGGAGGAGTCGACCGGGTACATGGACTTGACTCGGCGGACATAACTTCCTTATTATACTTTGAGGAAACTACTCAGGCAGGCTCCGGAGATCCTCCCACTTTTGTCGCTTCTGTTCCGTTTCCTTCGCCCGCTCCTCCATGCCCCCTCCTCCTTCCGCTCGCCCCCACTTCTTTCACCCCTCTCTACAGCCGCCCGCCCTTCCTCTTTCCCCTTCATTGCGACCCCACCCTCTCTCTACTTCCGGCGGCGAAAGTGAGGTATTTCGAACGCAACCCGCTTCGACTCTCCCCCTCTCCCGCCCGCGCCCTCGTTGCGTGCCGCGCCACTGTGTTTAGGCCATTTGGGGCGGCTCGCTCGGCTGGGCGGGGGAGGCTCGGATCAGATCCAGGCACAACGGCGATTCCTTTCGAAACGCCCGCCAAAAAAAGAGAGAACAAAGCCTAGTCTAGCGTTTGTGCCAGTACAATGCCCTGATTTATCGACTGCCACTTTGTAAAATCAAATTACACACCAACGCCACACCGCTCGGGAAACAGAATTGGTGTCATGCCGGCCGCAATCGCGCTTGTGTATATTTTGCAGGTGTTGTTTATATCCCGGGTACACGTTTGCCGTTTCGAACTTAGCTGCGCAGGATTAGCGGTGGTGGTCTTGAGCGTGGAGGGGGTGGCGGGGTGCTGGAGGGGTAGTTTTATTGCGAAAGGACGCTAAAGCCTCGGCGATGCTGAGCGTGGAAATCAAGGCTATACCGAGACCGAGGGAGACGGAAAGGAGGGAAAAGGGGGGTTGCAAAACAGTCCGAGTCGTTAAGGGGCGCTCGGGTCTCTAGGCAACCACAGGCACGCCCCTATGTTGGGCCGGCATTTCGGCGGCCAACAGCAACGTCAGCAACACGCGGCCTCTACGCCAGTGCCGTTTGCCTCGGCCGCCTGCGCCGATAAAGTTAAAGAAGCCCACTGGTCGGCAGCTAAGGTTTCCAAAAAAAGGAAAAAAAAACAACACACAAAACCAACAACAACAAAAAACGCCTAAACCTCTGTGCTGCTTCTAAAAGCTCGGGTCTGCCTCCACTCGGAGGATTAGTCGGATGTTTACGCTGTTGCATTGGTTGCACCGGCCCGCCAGAGCCGAAAGGCGCTGCGGCGCCTGCGGTGGCCACGCTCTGTTTTCCACGTCGATATGTTAGCGGTGGTTGGATCGGATCAGATAATGAGACAATAATAGACACGGGCACGAAAACTGAACCGGTGGCGCTGGCAAGACAGGCCGTCACGCCACGCTAACGGCCACGCTCACTCACCCCAGACGTGCACGCTCCAGCCGCCCTGGCCGTGCGGCGCGGCGCCGTCGGGCTGGCCGGCGCCCGAGCCCGAGGCCATGCGGGCGGCCGCGGCGCCGTGCTCGAGGCCCTCGGGCGCGGTGCGCCAGCGCTTGAGCAGGTCGCGCGTGCGGTCGCGCGTCTTGTCGCACGCGTGCTTCCAGTTGGAGATGAACTTGTGCGGCACCTTGGGCGAGCCCGGCGCCCCGGCCCCGGCCGCACAGCCGTCGCCGCCCGATGCCTCGTCGCCGCCGCTGCTCTCCGGGTCCCGGAACTTGACCTCCTTGTTGGCACCGTCCTGCTTGTCGGCCGAGACGGCGCTGGCGCAGCTGCTGGTGCTGCCCCGCGGCTGCGGACACAATATTAACGATCACCAAATTACCTTCACGGTAAAAAATGATGAGCTGTACACACAAACCAATAGCTAAATACAGGATAAGTAACTATTTTGCTAAGCTTAACTACCTAGCTAGTACCTTTTTTAGCCAGATAGCTTAATCTTGTGGGCATAGCTAAATTGCTGAACAAGTAGTTAATCCGTGTTTAGCTATTGGTTTATCTATATGGCTAATCTTGTTTTCCCGTTTCCTAATAAACTCCTGGCTACTGTTCGAAAGAGGGATCATCCAGAAAGTACGACCGTCATTCGCCGTTATGAAAGTGCCAAATTCAGCCTACTGAGGCGATCATAGCGCCTGTCAGGTAGGCAACATCTTGCCTGTAGTGCATGCGTGTACTGCGGGAGTGCCTATCCTACGTCTCGCAGGCGCCGAGCTCTCGCAATTTATTTGCCGAATGAATCTCAGAGAAGGGGCGTATTTTCTGGACGACCCATCGCTATCCAGTCAACACCGAAGCGACTCCCCTGCGATCGGGGATGACGGCGAGCTCACCTGGGTCGACGCGGGCTGCGTCAGCTGAGGCGGCAGTCCCGCCGAGGACTCCTTCTTGTTCTCTTTGCCCTTCTTGTGCTTGGCCTCGTGCTTGGCCTCGGCCTTGGCGTCGCCTTTATTGGCGTCCCCGGGCTTGAGGTCGCGCACGCTGTCGGCACGCTTGTTGAGCGCCTTGGTGACGAGGCTGGCGCCAGGCGCCGCCCCGCCGTGGTGGTGCACGCCGTTCTCCATCGCGCCGCGCGCCGCCGCCCCCGCCGCGCGCCGCCTCCGCGCCCCGCCACGCCGCCGCCTCACATGTGGGCCTGGAGGGCGAGCGAGCGTGCAGCGTCGAGGGTTGGGGGCGCCTGCGCTCTGAAACAAGCCACGCACACCCGGAGAGAAAGGAGAGGTTAATATGCTTTTCTACTCTCGTCCGCGCTCCTACAGCATGCCATTGTTGGCGTTAACAATCTCCCCTTCGTCTCGCGTAAATTTTGTATCGAGTTGGTCCAACAGTCAGTGACCTTCCTGCTGCCCCCCCC